GGCTACCCCTCTGATATCTTGACTTTAGTAAGGCTTTTGATACTGTCTTGCATGACCTCCTCATAAACAAACTAGGGAAAATACAACCTAGATGGAGCTACTATAAGGTTGTTGCATAACTGGTTGAAAAACCACCCCAGGAAGTCATGGGCAGCAGGCCCTGATGGGCCAGCGCTCTGCCGGATGGGCCCTTTGGATCTGGTTCTGTTCCCAGGACATTCCGCACTCTTGCTAGTCTGTGACCTTCCCCCACCTCTCCCCTGGCAGGACGATCACAGGCTGTCCCTGGATGAATTGGGCAGGAAATACCAGGTGGATCTGTCCAGGGTAAGTCAGGACATGTCAGTGTCTGTGGGTTGGTGCCCCTCCCCCACATTGCCCTCCCCCCACCACTTATCTCCCCCCCACCCTCCCTCCCTATCACCCGCCACTCCCCCTTGCCCCCTCCCTACCATTCCCCCTCCCCTCTCATCCTCCCCTCCCCTCCCCTCTCATCCCCCACCCCTATCGTCCCTCGCTCCCTGCTTTCCACTTCCCAGGCTGGGCTGCCATCCTGCTCCACACCACTGCCCGATGACAATCGCTGCAGCATCAGCCATCGCAGGTACCCTCCTGCTTCCCCCCCGCACCACCATCTGACCTCAACCCGCTGCCAGATCTTGGGAGAATTTGCCCTCATCCCTCCCTGATTCCCAGGCTCCTGGGTGCAGGTTCTGTGCAGCGTCCGGGCCACTCCATTCACCTGGTGCTCAAAATACAGGGAAGGATCCCCCCAGAAGCCCCAGTGGGGGAGGGATTCCCCACCCAGAAGCCCCAACAGCCCCCTGGGGAAGATGAAGCCTGTTCCCCTGCAGTGTGGGTGGTTTGGCAGGATGAGGGAGGGACTTCTCTCGAGGACCCCCCCAAGCCTGGTTGCACCGGGCAGTGGGGGATTCAGGAGAACTGGACCCCCAGGGCTCTGTGATGTGTGTGTGTGTGTGGGGGAGCCGTGGGCAGTGGCTCCGTTCCCTTTGCCAGCCGCTGAGTGCACTGGGTCTGGTGCGGGAGGGGCCAACAGTGTGAAATGCCAGAGATACGGGGGCTCCTCCGGCCTTTAGGTGTTTCGAACCCTGGTAGCACGTAACTGGCTCTTTCTCTCTGTCCCTTCCTCCTGCCCTCCCGTTTTGTCGTTCTCTGGGTTCTGTGTCGCTCCTTCGCTCCCCTGCCATCCCTCCGACCCCCCTCTGCCTGGGCAGGGTCTGACCAACACCCGCGCAGCCGAGATCCTGGCACAGGATGGCCCCAACGCCCTCACTCCTCCCCCGACCACCCCCGAGTGGGTCAAGTTCTGCCGCCAGCTCTTCGGGGGCTTCTCCATCCTGCTGTGGATTGGCGCCATCCTCTGCTTCCTAGCCTACAGCATCCAGGCCGTGATGGAGGACGAGCCGGCCAACGACAACGTGAGCCACATGACCCGGAGCAGATCAGACACGGGGCGGGGGGAACCAAGTCATTCTGGCCTGCGTCCCAGGGCTGGGTTCAGCTGGATTCTCCACTCCACACCTGGAGTTTCTGAGTGTTGAACAAACCTCTAAATGGAACCTCACTGAAACTCTCCTGCTTCTGTCCTTCCCCTAAAGCCGTGAGGGAGAGAAATTGGGGGGGGGGGGATTCAGGGCGGGACCCTCTGGCCTGGTTTTGAGGAGGGCTTGGTCTTACCCAAGGGGTGTGACCTGGTTTTGCATGGCAGGGCCGTAGAGTCTCATCCCAGCCTCCCAGAGATTTGTGAGAATCCGGCCTGGGCGCAGGCTCCAGGGGTCTCATCCGTTCGGTCAGCTCTGGGCTTTGATTCACCAAACTCAACCCAGACCAAGTGAGCAGCATCTCCTGGCCGAGGCAGGCAGGGCCGGGGCTGAACTGGTCCCACCTGGACACTCCCAGCACTGGGGGATGGGTGAGGAACGGTTCACTGTCTCCCTGCACTGAAGGCAAGTTCCAAAATAACTCAGCCCTGCTTCCTAAATAAGAGCTGTAGTAACACGAGCGGGGCAGCTGTCCCACCCCGAGGCTGGTCTCGCCCGGGAGACCTGCAAGTGCTGCAGGGAGCGAGGAGGGGGCTCAGGAGGGGGGGCTCTCCCTTCCCTGTCAGTGCTGCCCCACCGCTCCAGTGCGGTGCTAGGGGGCGCTATGCCCAGTAGGGGGCGCTCTCCCTGTGGAGCCAGGGCTGAGCACAGTGGCCAGGGGTGAGACACCAGCCCAAGTCCCAACTACTTGTGATCGATAAGGAACCAACTTTTCATCCCAGTCAGGGTGTTAGCCCCTGGGCCCCGGCCCAACTCCATCTCCAGTAATTACCTACTTCTCACAGGGTCAGATATTTGTCACTTCCTGTCCTAAACTGCTGGGCAGCATCACTATGCATCTGTTAAGCAGCTGCCATGTCCCACCGTAGGGGTGGCTGCATTGCGGCAGTGGGTGAAGGAATCCCCTATGTCTGAACAGTCTCCTCCTCTCCCCAGCTGTACCTGGGCGTGGTGTTAGCTGCTGTGGTCATAGTCACCGGCTGCTTCTCCTACTACCAGGAGGCCAAGAGCTCCAAGATTATGGATTCCTTCAAAAACATGGTACCACAGGTAGGAGCTCCCCTCTCCCATCCTTTGCACCCTGCTGGCACCATGTGGCATGGGAAGGGAGCACCAACGAAAGGAGGAGACTGACCATCTGAATAAAGGCAGCTCAGGCTGGAAGGATCATGGCCAAGCTACAAAACATTGATTGCAACAAACCCACAGCTACCTAGGAGTGCCCACTTCATGGGGGATAGCACCTGGGTCTTCCAGCGCCTAAGGCCCAGCCTCCTGAGCTAGAGGAGGATCCTTACTGACTCCTAGCAATATAGGGCCTATGTCACACAGACAAGCAGTTCTGATTCCATCCAGTAGAGGGAAGAATTTTCCCCTCTAAGCCTCCCTTTTGATCCTAAATCTCCTTGACAGGAGAGACAGACCCAAGCAGCACAAGTGGAATCTGGGTTGGGGACACCTGTAAAGGCTTGGGGCCGGGTCTGGGATTTTGGTCCATTTGGAAAACGTGGGTCCAAGTCCAGTTTCAGAGTGTTAAGATCTCGGCTGGTCCCTTGCGGCGGGTAACCCAGCCAGTGTGGTTCCAGAGCTCCCTCTAGTGGCAGCCGGGCCACAAATAGGAGTTGATGAGCCCGCGACAGCATGAAATGGCCTTTTAGCTCAGTAGCAGCTGTCTTTAGACCCAGAGTTCCCAGATTCCAGGGGCATGGGCATGGCGTTGCAAGAGCTGCTGTTGCAGAAATATCCCAGGCCCATCGCTGAGCAATGGGAGAAGAGAACACAGAGCTGAAGGCTCTCCAGGGATCCCTGAGCCCGTCTGGGGGATCCCCCTCCTCCCTGAGCTGGCAGCGCAGCCACAGGGCCATTTCTGAGTTTGGACGCAACCGTGCTTAGCTTTTGGTTTTGTCCCAACCTCAGAGGCCTCCGTGCTTCCTCCTTCCAGCCAGTCTCTGAAACGCTGCATTGATGGGCTGGGATCCCGCTCTCCCGCTGGTAGCGTCACCCCACTGAAGTGGAGAGAGATCAGAATCAGGCCTGTGCCATGCCTTGCCTGGCCGGCGGCAGGAGAGCCCACGGGGCAGGCATTCCCAGCCCCGAGAGAGACGATCCGAACGGAGCTGATTGCTGAGCGCTAGGGCTGGTGGGGACAGAGAAGCAGCTGCAGTGGTGGGTGGGCAGCACTTCCCTCTGCTGGCTGGACGAGGGGGCGCAGCTGTGACCCCCACGCACTGTGAGAGTCCAGAACTCCACTGGGAGTTTCACCCGAGCCCAGCAGCAGGCCAAGCCCTGGGAAAGGGTGGGGGTGGGCTCAGGACACGCTGGCGCAAGGTAAACCACATGCACTTGCAGCTTCCACTGGCAGGGCCGTTCTGCAGGGCTCCCCACCTGGGGCTGGGACCCATCGGGTCAGATGGGGGTCAGCGGTGCGGTGCGCAGCAGGCTGGGGCGTTACAGGGGGCTCCAGGGGTGCGGGAGCTGGGCGCAGTGCTCTTGCCTTTACCTCTCCTTCTGGTTGCGTTGGGCAGCAAGCCCTGGTGATCCGGGAGGGCGAGAAGATCCAGATCAACGCCGAGAACGTGGTGGTGGGAGACCTGGTGGAGGTGAAGGGGGGAGACCGGGTCCCTGCTGATCTGCGCATCATCTCCTCCCACGGCTGCAAGGTGAGGATGGCGGGGCTGTGTCCCGGGCTGGCGTGGGTGCTCCATAGACTAGAGGAGAGGGAGGCATGGCCGCTATAGGGCAGCCAGTGCGGACTGACTGGACAGATGGACCCTGCTTTGTCGATCTTACACAAAAAGGCTTATGAGGCCTTGCTGCTCTCGTGGCCCTATGAGATCTACCCACAGGGCCATATAGGGGGATATTGGTGCCTTCCTTCTTGGAAGGGCCGCTGCGGCCCACCCCTTGGACTCTGTAGGGATCCCCATACTGGGGGGCATGTAGGCAGGCCCTGGCTCCTGTCCAATCCCCACGGGCAGCAGGCTGTGTCAGGACAGCCTTGGGGGAGGTCGCAGGGTCTCGGCCCTGCCGAATCTCCAGGTCCCATGTGAACCCCGGGCTCCCCTGCAGGGATGGGGTGAAAGTGGAAGCCAGGCTGTCCCTGTATGCCTGGCTGCAGCATCCCTGTATCCCCCACTGCCAGCCCAACCCCTGGAACCCTCAGAAACCCCCCAGCCCTCTCTGATAGGGGCCCTAACCCCTCCCCTGCCCCGCAATGATAAGCACCCCAGGTCCAACCGTCCCCCCACCAGCTGCTGAACCCCCTCTCCCCCTTCCATCCCTAAACTCGCGTGTCCACGTGCCCCCCCCCCCATGCCCCTCCCCCAAGTGAGCTGCGTGGGATAAGGGAGCCTGCCAGCAGCCCATGCTCTGTGCAGAGGGCCCCATGTGAACTAGTGCTGAGGATGGGGGGCACTCCAGGGGTGGGACATGGGAGCCCCAAGAGCAGGGGGGTTTGTCCATCTGTCTATTAGGGCAGAATCGGGGCTTATGGGCTGATGCCAGTGACAGGGCAGGGGACTGATAATGATTGAGGCAGATTGCCCCGGTGCTGTCTGTCTGTTCCTCCCGTCTCTGTCTCTCTTGGGCCCCGAGGCCCCTGACTGGCCTCCCGTTGCCTCGGCAGGTAGATAACTCCTCCCTGACGGGCGAGTCGGAGCCGCAGACCCGCTCCCCCGAGTTCACCCACGAGAACCCCCTGGAGACCCGCAACATCTGCTTCTTCTCCACCAACTGTGTGGAAGGTGAAGGAGGGAGGGGGCCGCCGGGCCGCTCAATTTAGGGCCCGTCCCTGGATCTGCAGGGCTGTCCCACGCGCCCCCCCGGCACTTAGTCTGGGGTGGTTATGGAGCCCTGAAATCCGTGTGCGTGTGTGTGTGTGGGGGGGGGGGATGAGGAGTCGGAGAGGGGGGGAACTGGGCAAAGGGGAGTTGAAATGGCCAGACTGGGGGGAAATGAGAAGGGTTATTACCCCCAGGGCAGCCTAACCCCAGAATTGCAGAGACAGTGCCAGTGAGGGTGCCCAGGCAGGCGACCGGGCCGTGATGCCAAGAAGGTCTGGCCCTGGTACACAGACTGCTGTGCTGAGAGACGGGCCAGAGGGAATGCTGTGCTGAACGGAGAGCCCTGGAGGCTGGGGGGGCCCCATTGCTCAGAGAAGGGCCTAACCCCAGAGACAAGCCAGGCCTCAACCCCCGCCAGGCCCATCACCTATCCAATGGGTGGCGTGCGCTTGCCTGGTAACAGTGAGGGGCCTCGTCCAGTCCTGATGCTGCCAACAAGGGGCCAGCCTGGTGGGATGGGCTGAGACCCCCCACAAGCTCATTGCACAGAATAGCCACCAGGCAGGGGAGGGACAAAGGCTCCTGGTCCAGGGCTGAGAGGATACCCAGGGCCCAGACAAGCAGTGCACGGGGGAGTTGCTACATTGTTGGGGTCCCTCAATCCATCCTTTACCAGAGCTGCTCCTGAGCCCCCTCCCAGCCCCAGACCCAGTTCCAGTCTTCCCCATAGAAGTACTTGAAATACCTGTCTCCCCTCCCCCACCACCGCACTAGGCACTGCCCGGGGCATCGTCATCTCGACCGGGGACCGCACAGTGATGGGCCGCATCGCCTCGCTGGCTTCGGGGCTGGAGGTGGGCCGCACCCCCATCGCCATGGAGATCGAGCACTTCATCCAGCTCATCACCGGGGTGGCCGTCTTCCTGGGCCTTTCCTTCTTCATCCTCTCCCTCATCCTCGGCTACACCTGGCTGGAGGCCGTCATCTTCCTCATCGGCATCATCGTCGCCAACGTCCCGGAGGGGCTCCTGGCAACCGTCACGGTAACAGGTTCCGCTCCTGCACTGCCCAAGGGCGGGGCTGGGTGTCTGGCCAGGCCCCCTGGCTCAGCCAGCGCAGGGTGGTCTGACCACACTGGCAGTGCCAAGTGCAAATCCTGCCCCCCCCATGCCTGCTCTGACCCCCGCCCCTCCGGCCCGCAGGTGTGTCTGACCCTCACCGCCAAGCGCATGGCGCGCAAGAACTGCCTGGTGAAGAACCTGGAGGCGGTGGAGACGCTGGGCTCCACCTCCACCATCTGCTCCGACAAGACGGGCACCCTGACCCAGAACCGCATGACGGTCGCCCACATGTGGTTCGACAACCAGATCCACGAGGCTGACACCACCGAGGACCAGTCCGGTGAGAGGTCGTCGCTGCTACCTGCCGCCTGCTCCCCCCACCCGCGCTGCCTGTGCCCCCTGCCATCTGTGCCATCACCACTCCACCACCCCCTTGCCTTTCACCAATGCCATCACCACCCTGGCGTCCCTGCCCACACCCCCAGATCCCCGCCACTCACGCTCCCTCCCCAACACCACTGTGTCCTTCTGCCTGCCACTACCACCACCGCCTGCAACCCTGGGACTGCCACCACCGCCCGCACCCCTGCCACTATCACCACCACCTAAGTCTAAGTTTACGCCAGCACTGTCGTTGGTAAAACTTTTGTCAGTCAGGGTGTGAAAAAACCACACCGCTGACCGACGTAAGTTTCACTGATGAAAGCACCGGTGTGGACAGCCATAGCTACTGCGGCTGTTTGCGGGTGGTTAAATTATGCCGGCAGGAGCGCTCTCTCCCGTCGGCACAGAGCAGCTACATGGGAGACCTGACAGTGCTGCAGCTGTAAGGTGTGTAGTGTAGACATAGCCGTAGCCGGCCCTGTGAGCAAACTGTCTTTCTCCACACACTGGGTAACAATGCGGCATATAGGGGAGACTGAGGCACAAACAGGACTCATACAAATACTACAAAATATTCCCACTTCGTCACACTCCCCCACTGCGTGTGCCCTCACCCCCCATCCCTACCTATGCCCCATGCCAACTCCACCTGTGCTCTCACATACCACCCGCCATTGTGTGCCATCACCCCCCATCTCTGCCCCCCACTACCACTACTGCTTGCACCCTCCACCACTGTCCCCCTCACCCGTGCCCTCGCCCCCTGTCATCAACACCCACGTGCCATGGCCGCCTGTACCCTACACCCATGCCCCCTGTGCCTCCCGCCACCCCATCTGTGCCCCCTAACACCACCTCCACTCTGGCTACCCGCACCATCTAGCCATCCCTAACTCATCATCTTGTGCATCTCCCCGCCCCAGCCGTCCTTGCCTCCCCCCACCTGCGTCTGTCTAACCCCTGGTGCTGCTTCAGGGCATGGCTGAGGTGGGGGTACAGGGGGGAACCTGTGGCACTGCAAGGTCAGCTGTGCTGAGCCCCAAAGTGTGCCCTGGGCAGAGGGTAGCATGGCAGTGCCTGCAGGGTGGATGTGGCAAGCCCTCGCACGCAGCTCCCGTGTTCCATGTTCCTCTCCCGAATTCCTGGCTCTTCTTTCCCTTGTTTGCCTCTGTCTCGCTTCGATCCCATGGGACCTGACTTTGGGAGGCTCTGATTTAGAGACCTGGGCACCTCCCAAGAGCAGGCTCTGCTGGATTAGAGATTGTAGGAAAGATCCTGGCTATTCCATCCAGGCCTCTCCTGGCAGGGGGTGCTGTAGGGGGCGGGGCAGGAGCCCTGGCTGTGCGGGGAGTTCCTAGCTATTCCAGTCCCAGCCTCAGCCAGCAGGGGGCGCTGTAGGGGGCGGGGCAGGAGTACTGGCTATGGGGGGAGTTCCTGGCTACTCTAGTCCCAGCCTCGGCCAGCAGGGGGTGCTGTACATGACAATGCTGCAGCCAGGCAGTGGGGCTCGGCTCGCTGCTCCAGTCCTATGGTTGGGGGTCTGGGTGGGGTCATGTGGCTGACTGGTGTGTCTCCTGCCAGGTGCAACCTTCGATAAGCGCTCACCCACCTGGGCAGCCCTGGCCCGCATCGCCGGCCTGTGCAATCGAGCCGTCTTCAAGCCAGGCCAAGAGAACGTCTCCATCTCCAAGGCAAGCCGGGTTCCTGGACCCCACCCCTCGGTCCCGGGCTCCCTGCACGGCTGCCCCAAGCGAGATGGGCCCCAGCGCTGAGCGCACCAGACTCCCCAGGGGATATGGGCTCTGCAGGTCTCCCCCATCCTTCACGCTGCTCTGATCCCCGCCTGGGGCACCACGTGAGATCGAGGAGGGGGCCGTGAGGAGCTGCACTGAGATGGGATCTTGGCTTCCCACAGCCAGATGGGCTCAGACTGCCCAGGGGGCCTGGACGGCCCCCATCGTCTGCCACGCTGCCAGAGCTCTGTCCGGCCCGGACCCCCCGCCGGGGAGCTGGCCTCAGAGCACACAGACCTGTGCAGCTCCCCCTTGGACTCAGGGCCAGCCTGGGGAGAGAGCAGCCCATGGGAGCGTGCTTTCCTAGGGCCGGATCCCAGAGCCAGGGGCTGTTCAGTCTGACCCATAGTACATGGCTGCGTTGTTCTCTGCCTTGGCAGGATTGTCAGCCTCAGAGCAATGCCCAGCGAGCCCCATAGCCCGTCCGCCAGCCCCGCCAGATCAGAGCAATGCCCAGTGAGCCCCATGGCCCATCTGCCAGCCCCGCCAGACCAGAGCAATACCCAGCAAGCCCCATAGCCCGTCCGCCAGCCGCGCCAGACCAGAGCAATGCCCAGCGAGCCCCACAGCCCGTCCACCAGCCGCGCCAGACCAGAGCAATGCCCAGCGAGCCCCATAGCCCGTCCGCCAGCCGCGCCAGACCAGAGCAATGCCCAGCGAGCCCCACAGCCCGTCCACCAGCTGCGCCAGACCAGAGCAATGCCCAGCGAGCCCCACAGCCCGTCCACCAGCCGCACCAGAGCGGAGCAATGCCCAGCGAGCCCCACAGCCCGTCCGCCAGCCCCGCCAGAGCAGAGCAATACCCAGCGAGCCCCATAGCCCGTCCACCAGCCACGCCAGAGCAGAGCAATGCCCCGCGAGCCAATAACCCCTTCTCTGCCTCAGTAGGACAGAGCTGTGGCCTTTTGTCCCCCCAGGTCCCTGACTCTGCCGCCCAGCATCAGAGCCATGAAGCCAGCTAGTCCTTTATCCCCCTGCTGTGTTGGATCAGACCCATGTAGACCAGTGTCCCTGGCTCCTGGATCAGAGCACTTGGCCCACAGGTTTCCTGCAGTGTCCAGTACCCCATATTTTAGATCAGATGTCCCCAAACTTTGTTATAGTGGGGTACATGCTACACCTCCCCTCCCATTGACCATGGCCACACAGCCGCACCCCCCTCCTATTGGCCATCACCCAGTCACACCTCCCCTCCCATTGGCCAGGGACCCACTATCCCGGCCACGCCTCCCCTGCCTCACATTGACCGTGGCCCCACCTTGCCTCCTGACCCATTGGCCATAGCCTCGCCCTGTCTCTGCAGCCACTGGCCACAGCCATGCCTCCCCTCCCATTG